TCTGGAGTGTAGTAGTGTATCCATATTTCGTCCACAGTTATCGACACAAAAACTCGTCAGGATTGCGACGGAAAAGCGCCAAACTAGCCTCCGAATCGATTGCGTTTATTCTCCACTGAGAGCAAACGCGGCACCTATCTTACCGAGATTTTTTTCACACCCAATTTTTCGTGCAAAATTGAAAACACTGTACCTTGTGATATGCCTGTGGCCTCAACTATTTCGCGCACTTTGATTTGTTGATCACTCAAAACCATATCGTGGATTTTGTCAATCATTTCGGAGGAAGTCATTCCACTGGATGTCCCGAACGATGTTCATCATTTGTGGATGTACGGCCACGTTTAAACTCATTTAGCCAATTGTAAACAGTCGCAAACACAGGAGCAGATGTGCCATGAACTTCATCCAACTCGGCTTTGATCTCTTTCAGTGTTAAGCCTTTTAAATAGAAGTGTTTAATCACCGCACGAAACTCATTTTTTTCCATTTTTCTAAATAAACAGAATTTTTTGCTTCAATCGACTATGAAAATGAAACCACGTGATGGATATAGCTGAAACTTTAACAGCAGTCTAGTGAGAGATGACGCTTACTAAAAACAAACCTTTTTCGATATTACGAGCGCTTTCTCTTGGATTTTCTAAAGACTTATTGAACGACTTTCTATGTTAAATGTTTAAATATTTGTATTAACGATTAAAATAATAAGTGAATAAATGTCCACATTTAAGTACATGTCTCGGCATTGATACTTTATAAAAATTGTTTTTCTTTTTTGTTTTATTTTATCTAAATTATTTTATAAAAATTGTTTTCGATGTTATTTCTTATTTATTCAAACTATTTTTATTATTGACATGTTGCAACAATAATACATATATTATTAATATATATGTTGCAAGTATGTGTCACCTAACAAATTAATAAGTACTATTGCACATATCATATCGATTTGTATATATTTCTTTTTCTATATATTTATTTATATATGTATTCATACTTATCCTCATTTTAATACTAATGAAATGTTATTATGTAAAAAACAGTAATATTTTTTAAATATTACTAATGTTACACTACACTGAAATCACAAGTAACCGTCTGAAACATTTATTATAAATTATGATTAGGGTTCTATTACGATGCGCTACGCTCCTGCTTGGAAAAAAGACGGAAGATGTCATACTATTGTTTGCCTCTCACTCTACATCTATTCCTACCCCCACCACCTCATTTAGCAGTCCATTCTATATGTCGATGTGCTTCCCGCTTTATTTTTGTCAAACCGGGAGGCTAAAAGCCCTTCCGAACCTCCCCTGGACTCCCATGAAACCACGGACCATATACATGTCGCTGTTATCGTCAATATGACAGTTTCCTAACCTTAAAAATGATCAACTTTATCAATTAATATCTTTACCGTGAAAAGCGACGATTTTGACTTTCAGATTTGGTTTCTATGTGTCAAAATACACTGTTACCAAATTTTAACAAAATCGATAAGGTCGGGTGTTTTCTTCACAATTACCATTCAATTTTGGTCCGCATTCTGAATTCTCTTTTATCGATAAAAGTGTCTTTAAAGGAAGCTATCTAATTGACTGAAAAGCTATATTTAAGCTACTTTTAGCGATAAAAAAGGTTTTAGAATAAGAGTGTTTATCTTTTTAAAGGAAAGTATCTGTGTGTCAAATGAAAAGAGCAATTTCTTGAGATAAGAGAATATATCAATATGTGGTAATTATTTAGTTTAGCGGCCTCACTTCCGATTTCGATGAAAATAGACTCAATCTACGCGTTTTTGCATGCCAAATAACTTTTTCCTCTGACAAAATCGTCGCTCTCTACTGCGAAGCGAGATATTAATAGACAAAGTTGAGGGCGTGTTAGGTTAGAAAATCTGTCATACCATCTATCTTTAGCTATGTAACTGGGGGGCTTCGCCCCCCAGACCCCCCATAACACGGTGGGGTGGGAGCTACAGTCTTTTGTGAGAAATTCACTCTTTAGCTTAAACATAAGAGACTATAGCTCCTACCCCCCGTGATAGGGGGGTCTGGGGGGCAATGCCCCCCAGTTACATAGCTAGAGATAGATGGTATGACAGATTTTCTAATCTAACACGCCCTCAACTTTGTCTATTAATATCTCGCTTCGCAGTAGAGAACGACGATTTTGTCAGAGAAAAAAGTTATTTGGCATGCAAAAACACGTCGATTGAGTCTATTTTCATCGAAATCGGAGGTGAGGCCGCTAAACTAAATAATTACCCAATATGTAACTCAATAAATTATTAAATATTAATATACAATTCCATATATTTATTTTAAAACTGTAGTCTATCATATTCTACAGACAGAAAAATATTCTGTAGTAGATAATAATTTTGTTTAATGGGACTTGTCAAATGAAGAGCACAGATATTGATATGTTCAATCACAAAACTAGGACTATTTTATTTTATACTTATTTTTGCTAAAGAATAAAAAATTCTGTTTATTTGATAATTTCCCTGTATTCTGTTCAGAGCGTGGGTATTATAATCGTTCCGATATTCGGCTAGCTATATTTCTTAATTGTCCATAAACTTTAGAAGGTGGACTGCCCAAAATCAGATTACATATTGCTCTACGGGCTAATTGTATATTCTGGTAGGAACCCAAAATATGTATTTTACTGTCAGCTAATACAATTCGGGTTTTTGTTACATTTTCGATAGTAAATTTTGTCCTTCCACCTTTGCCTGCTAATCTACCAATTGTTCTAGACAAATGATCACCCTTTAGTGATTGTTTAACATCCAGTATTTCGAATGTTTCTACAAACAAATCATCTAAACGCAATAAAGCTAAAGCATCTTCCACTTCAAATCCAGAAATAAATGCTTTTACAAAATCCGCTGCTTTTTGGAGATTTGAAATATCTGGGGTATCAGGCGCAGTTCTAATTTCTACATTCCTAGACTTTAAGTTAAAGCGTATTTGTAATTGCAAATGCTCAACAATAGGTGTAAATATTTGCAACCAATTTTGTTTCAAGGGTGTGTATCGGTGAGCTGGCACTGGAATCTACAATATAAATTTATAATTTAAAATCAGATGCTAATATATATTATAAATATGAAATAGAAATTATGTATATTTTATTATTATTTTACCTTTCTTTGCTCCATAGCAGTTTTAGCTCTTTTTTTAGCTGTATGTGAGTTTACTTTTCCTTGTATGCCATTCACTACTTCTACCTACAGAAAAATAATTACAATATGTAATTATACAAGAAATGAATTGCAAAGTTCCATATATAATCAGAGTATTATTATTTATAAAAAAAAAACATTATTTAAATAACCTCCAACCAAATACAATAGAATAATAGGAAAAAGGGCTAATTCGAGTTCAAGCACAGGATTAATAGTGCTATGTATCATATGGGTAAAACCTTCCTTGTGTTAGGAAATAGAGCAATATTTATTGAACATGAATACTCAATAAATAATCAAACGTTTTGGCTCAATTATGAACCCTCTTCAGTGATATAAAAACTCAA